TCATGCGAAATTTTCACATGATCAGAGAGCCAAAATTAGCTGCTAGCCCACAACAGCCGTTTCGCAATGCTGACATAAATTCTTTTTGGATTTGAGGTCTCGGCAGAAGAAGTTGTTTTCCTCTGTACAGGGTTTTGTACAACTAAAAAAAAATTAAAACTTGAGTAAATCCGCTCATATTTTGGATTGTGTTATGGAGCTGAAATCGAGCAGATCCAGATGAATTGAACGTTCATCAGTGGAAACGGAAAATTATGTTCCAATTAACATCTGGTATTGAGCCATTCACTTGATCATAGCTTTCAAGTTTTATTTTTCTCATATCTGTGCTCAAATGGTCGTCTCCTGATAATTATGGTGCAGTTCTATTGAGACTCCCACAGCTGTATACTGCTTTTCCGATCCCAACGGATCAGTTTTTTTCCTTTCGTCCCTCTCCTTTTTGTAAAAGCCTTTCTTTAGCATCCATAAAAGATCGTGCAAATATCTTTTATGAACAAATCAATGAAGAGCCTTTGTTTTCGTTCCGACCCCTGTGGGTATTGTTCTGAAAGAAACATTATATCGCTACTTTCATCGTAGTCCGAATAAAGAAGAACCGTGTGCAGCAGATATTCTATTTTTTTTTCTACCGTTTGGTTCTGGATACTTTGAAAAAAAAAAGATTTACTAGTTCCCTCCTGTCTGCATATGAAGTACCAGTCCTGCAAACTTTGTGACCACAAATCAAACATCAATTTTTTTGAATATAAATATGGAAAACAAGAAATGCATCAAAACTAGATGATATATGCACAAGAGGCACACACATTTTTCGATGCGTCTCCCTGCCAATTCTCATTATTTCGTATGGAATTCCCTATGGGTGCAAAGAAAGCCCATAAAATTTTTGCGCGTTGCCCTTTCGAGCTGTCGAATGTCAACCTCTCGTTGGCGCTGGGAAACCCCCTCCCGCTAGAAGTTCAACTGCGGGGCGGAGTTTTGGGGCATATAAATATGTATGTACACCGGAGTCCCGGAAAGTGTATGTTCCTGCCGTCGGCGAATGGCTGCTCTTTGTTGGTGGTGTTACTAATTTTTTCTTTTTCTTCAAGTCTGAGTGCACGCCGGGATAAAAGCGGGTGGAGGGAAGGGAAGGGAGGGGGGGGGGGGGAAGGAAGAGATAATTTAGTTGTTCCGCTAAGTCTTGTAAGTAGTGAATTACTGACGCTTTTTTCTAATCATGAACCACGAGGAAAATTCTAGTTTACGTCTTACCACCGCCTACCACTCCTCCCTTCCCCCTTTAAATTTGCCTCAAATCACATCAGATTCGCCTAGGCAAACAATCTAGCAGTCCAATATAACAGAGAAATCTCGTTTCTTTTTTCTGTAATTCAGAATTAGAAAAAATTCTAGAATTCGTGAATGCTATCGAATTCGCTGTTCTGGAAGGACTTATCCTAAGCTTTTTTCTTTTATACTTCTTGTACACATAAACTTCCAATTTGTCCAGCAAAACGATGGTTCGTCCCACTTGGAACATTTTCTGTTTACATATCCGCTAATAAGGACTGTCTTCCGTGCCGTCGGAATTTTACGAGAGATGTGATGCATATGCATGTGGTATGTGGATAGGGGATTCCTGGTGGATTTGACACTCTTTTCTTCAAATTCATCTTTTACGCAACCTCCTTTGTTTTTCTTTGTCACTGCTTAGAGACACAAAATATCCGTTATAGTTTTTATTGAATGTAGAACATGATAACATTTCATTACGTTTGATAGTGAGAAATTAAAAACCGAATAAACCTTTCCTCCCCTATCTAGTTCTCCTAATACTGTGGTAATTGTTGCCATTAAAGGAGTGATGTCTAGGAAAACGGGCTTTGTATAGTGCCATTCATTATTGCATTGTTTGGGTTTGTGCCTTTTGCCAACTGCAATTTTCGCAAATTTTTGGCAATCTTGAAGAGGCGACGCGGTGAGTAAGCTGGATTATCTGGTCCGTTTGCTAGCTGTCATCTGTCATTTCTTTGCTCATGTAATCTTTCAAGGCACAGATCAAAGTGCTGGGTGCGGTCTCTTATCAGACAGTCTGGACATTCAATGAGTTCTTCATGTCATGAGTGATTCAAAAACTGTCTGTTTCCACAAATCAGAAAACACGCCACGGAAATGCGTGATTCATGGGGTTCAAAGTAACCGTCTTATGTAGTCTGTTGGATGTCTTTGGTGCTGATGACCATCTCTTTGGCCCTCGCTCCTCATCCCTTTCTTCCTCTGAATTTTTGCTCTATGAGGAAGTCTTCATGTGTGCAGTTGTACTGATTACATCTCATCCCGAAAGCAGTAATCATCGCTTTTGTTTTTTGTTGATGTCTTTCTGCTCGGCTTTTGTGCGGGTGTAATTGAACCACAAACCTGCACTTTATCAAGTTCAAGCTTTCGTCTGATCTTTGATCTCATTTGACCTCATGTGCAAAATAACGGACCCATCCGATTAAGTACGTGATCGCACAAAAATGCTACAAACTACAGATAGATTACAAATGTCAAGGTAATGCTGTAAGTAAGGGATGAGCATGTATGAGACGTTATGTGTCAATTCGAAAAAAATAGAGATGGCAAAATTTGCTTTCCACTAATTGCTGCTTTTCAGTCATCTTTTTTGATGCAAAATTGAAACTTCTGTGTTTTCTTCTTCCCTCCGAACTTGATTCAGCAATCCTTCGAAAACAAACAAATTTAATCCATTTTTTTCGAATATCGAGGGAGACACGCAATAGGTAACTTCATCATAATTTAGATAATCGTTCCATGGACTCACAACATAGTTTGCTTTGTTAAGCGTCTTTCCTTTTTCACAGCAGGCATATCGGCAAAAGGGCGTAGACACAGGGTTCGTCGTTGGTGCGTAATACAGTTTTCCAGTCTCATGTTGAGGAAATGAGACTTTCGAAGTGCCTCCTGTCTCAACACCTCAAACACTTTCTCCATTCTTTGGCTTCCGTTCACCTCCAATTGAAGATCACTCGATAAGGATTCTCAATCACAATGCTTTTGCCTCAGGGGGGGGGGGGATCGCTTACGTTTGCTGGTGACGTGCTGCTCTCCTGCTATTTTCTGCAACTTGCTGCAGACATGGACAATTCAGCAAAATGGTTTGGGACTGTTATCCATGGAAATGTCATATTTTTGGGGTATAACTGAGATATAATAGGTAATCGTAATTTTGTGTCCAAGCTCACAAGGTGGTTTCTGACTAGCTTTACCATAATTGTAGTATAACTGTATAAATTTTAGAATTATTTTGGTAATGCTGAAAGCTTTTGGTGGATTTTGGCGCAACTTATAATTTTGACTTATCGATGCAGCGGTAGATTTATCTCAATGAAGTATTCTAGAAGGTTTTCTGCTGGACGAACCATGACAGACTATTCTTCGGCCGGCACCTTTGCGTCAAATTAGAATTTAACAAATATTCTTTCTGAATTTTTTCTGTTTGCTTTGGTTTTTGCAGAGTTGAAAAGCATTTTGGCAACCGTTGTATAAGTGCATGTTGATACATCAAGCTGATTTAGATTCATGTTTACCGCTTCTCAAATACCTTTTTCCAAACCTAATTTCAAAAACAATTTTTCCACTCAATCACGATATTTTTTGCCTGTAATCCTGTCATTAGACTCTTTCGAGCATTTGACTAATCGCTCGCATCTTTTCCGATCTCAGATTATGTGACTTATGAATCATAGTCACACCTTCACCAATCTCTTGAAGAATATCTGATTCGATGCCTCACCAAGGTTCCCAGAAGGCTGTAGGAGCTCATGTTGTGCCCTGTGCACTTTTTCTGGGAGGATCTGTCTTGCTCAGTACTGGTAACTCATGCACTTCCTTCCCTTTCTGGAAATATGTCATGGGCTATTATTGTTGAACTATTTGTGTATAGTTTTCAAGCTGGATATATCCATTTGTATAAACGCTCATAATGCAAAATTGAGCATAACATCAAGTATGGCCATAACTATAAGCCATATAGTTTTTTTTATTATTCATTTAACTTTGTTGGACTTTCCGCAAGTTACCTTCTTTTAGTCAATCTCAAAAAACATTATGATAGTGTAATATTTTCACATCCGCAGTGACGTTTCGCAGGGTGAAAAATAAATGGAAATAATAGAAAATGTCTACATCACTATTTTAGAGTGTCCAACTTCTTGTTTTTGGCTTTCACGTTCTTTCATCACTTCGTTCATTTGCGTCGTATTTGCATAACCCATCGATTTGGCAATTCTTCGGTAGTTCAGAATCCATTTTAATGGCATTTTAAATTGTGTATTGCACTTCATCTTTGTGAAAGTACCACCATCGTGCATATGTGATCTAAACCACCATCGTGCATATGTGATCAAATTTCTCTGAAGACCTTTGGCAAGTCGCCAAATCTCGGCGGCTGAAATTGCGCGAGGTATGCCTTAGCCTAACTTTGAGAGGGATAGATTTCAATCTATGATACCTTGCTGGGAATCCACACGTTTCGATCATTTGTGTCACACACTGATCATAAATCGTCACTTATTCTTTCCACCCTGATGCGATCATCAAGGGAAAATAATTGACAGCGTTTAGTTTACGTCAAGTGCCAGCTGAATCACTAGCCTTGTGCATCATTATGTTTGTGTAGCGCAGCGCTCGCTCTTTGTTGCACCGTTGTTCAAGGTATAGATTCAAACGCAGAATTTAAATTTCTAAGCTGTAAATACTTAGCTGCTTACACGTGTGTGTCAGCTCCCAGCTTGAACGTTATTGCTAAATCCTCCGATTTGCTTCTGCAGTGCGCTTATGAATTTTGAAAATGCAGCCAAGGTTTGTCAGCAAAACTGAGTACATAACCGACCATATCTCGAACCAAGATTGTCTGGTTTTCTTTTTTGCGTCTCGCTGACGTCGTTCTTCACACTGAGATCGTATAACACGCAATGTCGGCTTGTTCTTTTGCAAAAAGTCCATGATTACAGATGACAACCGCAGATCCGCAGCAAAGACAGTTTGCGCTGTTCCATAAGTTTCGCACTGAAGTGCGACCACCGCTGATATTACGACGAGATGAGCGAATTCGATCAGTGACGTGCTCATTTGAAGAGATTATCGAATCAGAAGAGGAGGAGGATAACCAGGTGAGAGACGAATTGTCACTAGAGATACGTTCGTTTGAAATTTGAAAACAAATCTCCTCTCATCAATCGTTATAACCTTTAGTCCTTAGAGTGCTCACACATCTCAAAATGAGTTTTTTAGCCTCGCGAACGAGCTTCACCCGAAGGACGTTCACCATTTGCGGTCATTGGTGAATCGCCGTTTGCCGAACGACGCGCAGCCTCTCCGCAGAACCGTAGTCCCTATGCGAGGTACGCAATACTCCAGCGAGAAATCACGGCGTCATACTGTATTTCTCTAGAAAACTTGTTGTACCTCGACTATGTCGTAGATTTCCGGATCCGGACCTACGTTGCCGACAAGCACCAACCATGCTTGGATCGCTAAGTCGACATGATGCTGTGTCGGATTTGTTGAGTCAGTTTTTAACAAATTGTCGGAACTTTTCTCAAAGTTCACTCATAAATTGTTTTAGCCCTTCCACCGATCCCAGAGGCAGCCCCATTGTGATTTGGTCAAGTGAAAAAAAAAACGATTTTGAAGAGATCCATCAGTAAACCGGAGCATAATCGATTTATCACTTCATTCGCTTGAATGTCAGCTGAAGTATCAGATGCTAATACTGGATGATCACATTTTTTCTCTATGAGAAAATCAAGTTACTTCTAGACATAAGGTAGAATGCCTTTTGATCATTGCTCGTGACGAACTTTTCTGCTGTACTTCTTCTAGTCTATTTTGTCGATCAGCCCATCAATGAGCAACGAATTCTTTACCTCTTCGATCTCTTTTTATTCTTATGTCATAATTTCTGCACATCTGATTGTTATGTTATGTTTTCACTGCATTCTTCGGGTTTCAATTAGAGCCTTGGAAATTTTGTGAACGGGTCTGGAATTGAAGATACCAACTCTTGATAAATTTTTAGAGTTACAATCTCCTAGCTTTCCTCCTAATTTCGAACACACTTTTATGTGCATACTATCTCCTGTCTGTATGAATATTCATTAACTCTGTGCGAATAACTCAAGAGTGACTGCAGTCAAAGTGCAAAAGTTAACAGAAACGAAGTGCAAGTTTGTTAAAGGCAGCGCCCAGGCAAATCTGGACATAGGGCGGGGGGGGGGGGGGTCTCAAGTAGATAGTAATTTTGGGACCCTAACTAAATCACTGCCCAAGCGGCAGCTCAGGTATGCTCTAACGGTTGAGATATTCGCCTTGAAACTGGACCCCAGGATCGTATTTCGCATGGATTCATGGCGCAACGCGTGGATCTCCGCGTGAAACTGCCATGAATCCATGCAATTACGATCCTGGGGTCCACTTTGGAGGTGTATATCTCGGCAGTTAGTGAGTCACCTACGCTGCCGCTCGGGCAGTCCTTAGTTAGGGCCCCAAAGTTACTTTCCACGTAAAATCCCCATAGCTCCAGATTAGCCTGGACGCTGCCTTTAACTAACCGTTGAAAGCAAGGTGCGAAATGGAGAGCTCTGATGGTGCTATTACCCGCAATGGAGATTTTCACGTAAAGTTCTGCAAATGTAGCAAACACTGAGAAAATAAAGTGATATAATTTCAAACTGCAGTTGCAGAATCAGTTTCAAGAGTATCCAACACCTCTGGTCGTTTGCTACTTTTTGTGAAAGTGTCACGATCGCTAGGAGGCTAAACATATCTGCATAATTGGTGCAAAATGATTCTATTTCATGCGATCCTATACAAGGATCACATCATACAGTGCTGGCCAAAACTATAGATCCACTATAAAAAACTGCCGTAGTTCATCTGCTTTTCAACGAATTGATCTGAAATTTGGTACAGCTGTGTGTTCAACAGGCTTCCATCAGTGGCCGGAGCGGATCCCGCTTTCGTTAGATTATTCAGGAGAAAAATCAAAAATTTCGAAAAAAGCAGGCTCGAAGGTTGGCCAAAACTATAGATCCACCTAAAATTTTTGTCCGCTAAAGTAATTCTCGACTTCCAAAGTCTTTTGTGCATATACGTGGTCGAAAGTAAAAGCAGTGGCTTTAGTCCAGCTGCGACATACTTTAATAAGAAACGCTTATCTGCTCTTTTTACTTAAAAAAATACTTTCACGCGTATTTTGTTCCCAAGAATGTGTTTTTATGGCTAATTTCGCAGTTTCTTGACTGGTTTGGAAGCGATAGGTCTCCATCTATCTTATAGATGCTCAGCAGTGTGAGCAGTAAAAAAAAATTCGAGTTTTCGTATTCAGAGCGCACCCGACATAGACTTAGCCGCGGGCCTTCGCTCGAATTTTTCCCTTCAAACTCTTTCTGGATTGTTGTCATGAGCGTGAACTGGAGTAATGACATTGTTGGTATGTATTAGAGTGCGTATGCAGTGGTTGCAGGTCTATGCAGATCCCATTATGCATGCTAACTGAGGACTTCATCCTGCAAAAAAGTGATTTGCAACAAGCCACAAAGTTATTTCTGGTTCTGATCATAATGCTTATGTGAGTCACAAGACAACATACAGTAGAGGGTGTATTCACTAATTAGCAGCTAAACAATGGCAAAACTCAAGGAAGGTACCATTTAGTAAGTACTTTGAAATTGCCGAACACACCGCAAGACTTATGCTTTGAAAAGGTGTTGAAATGCGACTTCGCGAACAATCGTGACTATGACTTGCAAACTTCTTTTGTGTAAATAATGCTAAATAATGTTTCTACATCATTTTGAGCTTGCAAAAATAGCGTACACCAATTTTGAAGGCAAAAATTCGAGCGCAGGCCCGCGGCTAAGTCTATGTCGGGTGCGCTTTGAATACGAAAACTCGAATTTTTTTTTACTGCTCACACTGCTGAGCATCTATAAGATGGATGGAGACCTATCGGTTCCAAACCAGTCAAGAAACTGCGAAATTAGCCATAAGAACACATTCTCGGGAACAAAAACGCGTGAAAGTATTTTTTAAGTAAAAAGAGCAGATAAGCGTTTCTTATTAAAGTATGTCGCAGCTGGACTAAAGCCACTGCTTTGACTTTCGACTATGTATATGCACAAAAGACTTTGGAAGTCGAGAATTACTTTAGCGGACAAAAATTTTAGGTGGATCTATAGTTTTGGCCAACCTTCGAGCCTGCTTTTTTCGAAATTTTTGATTTTTCTCCTGAATAATCTAACGAAAGCGGGATCCGCTCCGGTCACTGATGAAAGCCTGTTGAACACACAGCTGTACCAAATTTCAGATCAATTCGTTAAAAAGCAGATGAACTACGGCAGTTTTTTATAGTGGATCTATAGTTTTGGCCAGCACTGTATATGCTTTCCTTATAATTCAAACACAGCTCCAGCCATTTTCACATCGTTAATTTTACTATCTATATGCTAAAAGATCTTTACATTACAAAAATATGCGTCGTCATCTCTACTCTATTTCGCTTTTTTACAACCAGTTGTCATAATTTGATATGATGCTCATATTAATTGGTTTATTAGCTAAAAAATAGACAGCATCGCATGTTTGGAGTTTTGAATATATCGCTTTTGCATCAGTAAAAAAAAACAAGTCGATATCGTTTGATTACATAATGGTCTTGCTAAATGTGCTTTTGATATCTTGACTTTCTGTCACCCTCATCTATCAGAGTCATACTTGGTTGCATATCGATTCCCCCCCCCCCCCCCCATGCGTTCTTTGTTACCGTTTGCTCAAAGGCGCCGTTCAACCCAAGCTGAGGGTTTTGAGCTTTTGGCAGCATATGATAGTAGGGCCCCCTATCAAGCTAATGCCCATGTCACTGCGCAAGCGAAAAATCTCTCCAGGGTGACGAATATGCACGAGGACCCCAGACGGCGCTCTCCATCCATGCCCGCCCATTTGTGCGCGCCTATCCAATCAGCGTTCCGGAAAGCTGGCCTTTGGGTTTTCTCGACTTCATGTTCGGAATCAGGGACATGAGGCGGCCTTGAAACGAATGAAACCAAACGAAGTCGAGAATCTGGGTGGTCGGTGCCTATGAGAGCCATGCTTCCACCACTTGGCTGTTTTTTTTGCCCAGACGCTCAGAAATAGGTTTTTTATGGCTCTAAGAAAATATAATAGGGGGAATCTGTTGAGAATAAGTCGTCTTCCCTTCTTTCCCGTGCAAAACGTCAGCTTTAATACAAATATCTACTCTTATAATTAAGGTCCTTCTCGCTCAATCAAAGCAGTAACGAAGTTTGTTTCGTCTGCCAGCAGGTGGAGGCTCATTTGCACATCAGTTTGAAGACGCGTCTCTCTATTGAACCAGAGCCATATTGCTTTTTGCTCACTGTCATACCAGTCTCGTTTTATGACATGGTTTTCAAGGTACAGTAATAAATAACAATAATATTTATTGTAAAGGAGAAAAAACTGTCTGGAAAGGTCATTGAGATTAGAGGCAATACATAGGGCAAGTTGATGCTAGTAATAATGTTTCAAAATTATGCCGTATTTTGATCACAGTGTATCTTGAGTGGTGTGCACTTGAACCTTGGTCTGCACACATTCTCGCAAAATTACATCGAATTGAACCCAGCCCATTCTATGAAGCCTAAAAGGAGCCTAACCATTTTTTCACGTCATGACTGAATTTTACCTATAGGTGTGCAACTACCAGAAAATAGACTCGAAAAAGTGCGAGAATGAAGAAATGGTGTTGATCAGGGCCCGGCACACATGGTCTGGGGTCAAACTGGACTTCGTTTTTGAAGTTAGAAGCAACGGGGATGTTGTTTTTAAGGTCATGGGGGAAGCGCCGATAAAAAAACGACGAACATGTCAGGTTTTACGAGTTGAACGTGTTCTTTCGCAAGCGCGCGAATTTCAAACGCAAGACTCAAACAAACAAACGGCTTGCTTACAGCGCACAAACAATCACGCTCCGAATTTGGGCTATGTGTATACAATATTACTCCAAACTATGTTATGTAAAGATCCCCAAAACTTATGTGTCGTAATATCGGTTCCCGAATTTGTTGGTTTCTAGACCAACACCAAACCAACTAAGTTGGTTCGGAGCATAAATAACGGAGAGTTCACATAAGTTTCGACCCTTTTTGATTTGCACGATTAGCACGGCCAAAAATCTATCATATAGTAAAGAGAGCGAATCAAAATATTGCCTCTCCTCTTTTTTTGAGCCAAAAATATGTAAAGCTATGCGTTGATAAATATCGCGCCCCAATCACATGCGGTGTCCTTTGAACTATGTGGCGAAAAATGCTTCGCCAGATTTTTGAGGCCACGGATTTGATTGACCTAGGAGTTTTTCGACATTCTGAGCACTACAATAGTACCCTACCCAATGACAGAGCCTTTAATCAACTCGAAATGTTTTCTTTTTGCTTTTTTGATGTATTAGATGCCTCAAAATGCGCTTTTTTCGCTTTTTTATTGTTATTTTGATTAAGCAAGGGCTTCCCTACTGATTTTTACGTCAAGAGAGACTTCGTAATTTTTCTCGAAGTCATGGGGACTTCGTTTTCAGAAGTGCTCCAAACCAACGCGTGCCGGGCTCTGGTGTTGATCAAGGCCTACACGCAGGGTGAGGCATGCGGTTGAGCATACCGACTGTCACTGTGTTAAAAATATAACTTAAAGTGAAACTGCAAACAACGGGATATTTTGCAACTTCCATTTACAACCAGACAGAAAAGACAAATCTGTTCGATTGCGAAATGTCTGTTCACGCAGACTTTCGGAATGTTTGTTCACGCTGAATAATCCACGTAATCAGACGCTTGCGGTAAGACTGTGCCTTGAGCGGTTGTTTAATCCAAAAAAGTCTATTTACACCCACTTATCGCTCGCGAATGAGTGTTG